TTATATCTTGATTGAAGTTTCAAATTGAATGGCACCTTCTTTTAATACATATTGTAATTAACCTAATTTAAATATATTTATGAATTAATGTATGGATCCATTGATTTATTGATGTATTATTTCATCAATGTGTTAATGTGTCAATGGTTTTGTATTTTGATTCAGGAATGTATTTCTTTTCTTTTCATTTTTCTTGTTTTTTTAAAAAAATAAAAATAAAAAATAAAATAAAAAAATAATGCTTTTAATTGATTAAGAATATTTTGTGCTGTTCCATGATTAAAATGTATGATTATATATTTATTGAATAAACATATTTACAAAAAAAAACGCTGGCTCGCTAGCCTGGAGGTCGGGTGTTCGATCCCTGCATTGGCCGAGAAAGTTCATCCAGATTTTCCGGCGTGGTTTCCCCTTGTCAGTGATGCAGGACAGCAGTCTAGTCGTTCGGATTGGACGAAAAACCGAGGTCCCATGTACACATTGGCGTTCACGTAAAAGATCCCTTGACAGTTGGAATTCGATATAAGAGTAGGCCGTATTGCCGCTGTCCGGGCAAAATTTCCCTCATAGCACACTGTATGGCGCATGCCAGTCTTCATTAGCCCAGTTCAGAGCAGAACAGTAGGACGTTAAACCCCATTTCATTTCATTTATATTTTGTACAGGTCATTTATAAACCGGGGCCACGGGGGCTCGGTGATTAAGTCGCTGACTCATTAACCAGCAGGTCCGGGTTCGATCCCGGTGTTGACCGAGAAATGTCCATATAGGATTTATAAGTGGTGTAGCATGGATAGTGTGACAAAGAAGACTCGCTCCCGGTGTTGGGTGAGAAATGTCCATATAGGATTTATAATTGGTGTAGCACGGATAGTGTGACAAAGAAGACTCGCTCCCGTTGTTGGTCGAGAACGTTCGTCGAGATTTTCCGGTGTGGTTTTCCCTTGTCATTGCAGGACGTAAAAGATCCCATGGCAGTTGCAATTAGATATTAAAGTAGACCGTAGCGCCGCTGTCCGGGCAAAATTGCTTCATACCACATTGCATGACGTATGCCCGTTTTCATTAGCTCTGTCAGAGCAGAACATTTTTATTTGGTTAACCGTGGTGGCGAACAAAAACAGATAGCAACAGGATTCCCATATTCTTCTTCAAGCTTCTTCATGGCCTTTTCGAAATTCGGCATGGTTTGCATATGTAGCGTGCTTTCAATCAAATAAAATGCCTCAACTGATGTATAGTCAGCCAAATAGCCTAAAAGTTCTTCTGGGTCGTACGTTCCTTTTTCCTAACACACTCGGAAGCTACTTCTCCACTTCTGGTACATCATTTTGTTTCCATTAAAGACAATTGGTTTTAATGGTGGCAGTGTAGTCCTGGCCATAATGTTTCAAAGGGCCTTAACTTCGTGGTAGGAATTTAATTCGTTGTTAGTATTTGTCAGAAGTTGCTGTCGGGGGTTGTGTAGGAATTCGATCAAATGGATTCAATGGTGTAGGCTATTCCGTCATTGTGTCTGACACGCTGTTCAGCATAGATGGGTAGGTTGTTGGGCCCAAATCCACCGACTTGATCATAGCAGACGCTTCTTTCTCCAGCGTGTCAAGTTGATCATCTTCTGTATTTTAAACTCTGGCTTTAATCCTAGCTGAAGCAAGCTCTGTTCGCAAATCAAGATTCTTAACGTATTTTTGATGCTGTAAATCCATTTGTCTCCGGCTCTCATCTCGCTTTAGTTTTGCAAGTTCTGCATTTTGTTTCATCTGTTCGGCTTTCAATTTCATTTCCGCCAAATGTGGTCTCAAGTATAGCCGCACGCTGTCTTTCAGATCTTTTGCTTGATGTGTCTGATCTACCTGATCGTTTGGTTGTATTGGAAAGCGTTTCTGACCTTTCTAAATATATGATGTCTTCTCTAACTTTAAGCTTTCTCTTAAAGAACAGGATATGTTGTACAGTTTTGTCGTATAACATTTGGTCAGTTTCTGGCACTATTTCGTCTGCAAGAATTAATGATTCAATTCTGGAAAAGGTATCAGAAACTTCCGTCATGTATGCATTTAGTTTCACTAATGTCTTCGCCAAATCGGCACCAGAAAGCTTCTCTATGTCTGCTTCTCCGTCTGTCATAAATTTGGTAATATTATCGATGGCTGAAGCGGGCCCGTATCTAGACACCATTAAGCGGGGGGGGGGGGGGGTCATTACCTTTCGGTAGGGGGGGGGGGGGGGGGCGAACATTTTGAGGAAATTTTCGGAAAGGTCATTCTAACAGACTGTTGTAATCATCATGCTATGTAGTTACCTAGGCGTCTAATAAGCATTTTGAAATAAGTATTCAAACAAAACAAAAAAAAACGTGATTTTTTAAATTTATTTAAAACTATTTTAGATTAGTACAAAAAAAATGGTTTATAAAGTAATGAGATACCGTGGGATTAATATGCGCATAGTCGCCTGAATTATACCTCCTCCTGCTTAGGGAAGCGTAGTTTTTTTAGGTTAATATAAGGAACTGTGTATACTTTAATGATTGTTAGCAATTTCTGAGCGGGGGAGCGAGCATTTCACGCGGGGGGGGGGGGGCGCCCCCTGTAGATACGGGCCCGGGCTGAAGTAAACACAACTCTGGCTTTTCCAAGTTGCGATTTCCTGCCCCTCTCTGTCATGTCCGATGGATCTTTTCTTGTCATTGATGTTTCTGCTGTGTCACAGGTATCTCCCTTTGATGCCATAATTAGAAAGTATGGTTTTCTAGCTGCTACCTATCCTGGTATTTGAATCGAAATCAGAATATGTCGTTGTCGTAATTTCCAGGTTGTAAATAAACTGTAACTTGTCTTCTAATTATGTCTTGTCTGTTTCTGTCAGAGACTGCAAGGAACTGTTTAAAACTGTTATTGACGCACTGAATTAAATCCAATATAATCTCAGGTACGATATATGTTTGATTCTGGTTGAGAACAGCATGAGAGCAACATGATTGTTTTCATTGGAGATGAGACGCAAATATTCAAAGGTGTCAGACAAACTCTAAACCAACCGCGTTCCCTTCACTGAGTCCCTTCAAAGGAGGCCCTGTCTGTCTACCTGTGGAATAACATGCATTTGTATCTGTTAAATTTGTGTGGTAGACAGATTGATATTATTTATATAACGTCTTACCCCAAACAAATTGCAAAAGAAACCATGAAGTTTCTGAGAGCGATATTTCGTAATTAGGGTGCTTTAATGGTGGGAGAATAAATAATTTCTTTTTAAATTTTTCAAACACAATCTGGTCATATATAAAATAGCATTTTCTGACAAGACCAGCGATAATCTCGTAAGATATGACTTTTACTATGTCTATTAAATGGTTTTCGACGTCTCTTCAAGGTCACTGTCTTGCGCCAAAGTCGTGAAACGCACCGTCGGGGGATTTGTTGGGGCCTGTCTCCCCCAGAAAAATTTCTAGAAATTTCAAGTCGGTCTTGCATGAAACCTGAAAGTGGTCGATTTTAATGTAGACATAATGTAGGTCTTCTGTCCTGCACCACTGATAAGGGGTACCACGCCGTAAAATCCCCATGAACTTTCTCGGCCAACGCAGGGATCAAACACTGAACCTCCAGCTAGGTAAGCCACCGTGTCGCCCAGCTATAGATGAACGATGATGTAGAGTTTCAGTTTGATGAGTTGTACAGCGGTTCCACACTGATCAGCAGTGAATATTCGCTAAGCCGCTACAATCACATCTTCAATAGAAGTCTTGATCTCGCCTTAACTACGTACATCTTAACAAGCTAGATGTTGTAAAACTCGCGGTCGTTGCTTCAGGAACATGCTACAATCACTGATAAGGATGACATCGATGTGACTTAATGAGCCCCAAATATTTGCTTTTTTACTCCGACAAATTAAATTCTAAAACATTTTTTTTACCCCGACAAATTAAATTCTTAAACATTCTTACTCCGACAAATTAAATTCTAAAACATTTTTTTTACCCCGACAAATTAAATTCTTAAACATTTTTTTTAAGTATTAGAAAAATAAATAACGACGTTTGAAGTATTTGTAGGTAAATATTATTTCCCATTTAGTGTAAATGGGTATAAAAATGAGTAAAAGGCAGCATTCTGCCCGAAGCAGTAACGTCTTACGTAAACATTGCACGCCCCATTGAGCCAATGATTGACGTCGCGTGATGTGACGTCATGTGCTGAAGGCAGTCATCTTTTACAGAGATATTAGAAGACTTTCGTAATCCTCTGTGGTTTCCAACAGTTTTCCGAGCGTAGTTACAATACAATTGATAATGACGTCACAATGAGAACGATGTAATGCCATCAAAATGACGTTACGACGTCATAATAAGATCGTAGGTTATGTCGGCATTTTTGAACTCGCGAGTATCGATATCCTATAGGCCGTTAATACATTTTCTTTTCAATTGAATAGTAACAGCTCAATAAATTCATTATTCCTAATCTGTCTTCGGCCATCAAAAGACAGGTATCAGCCGTGTTTTTCATTTCAATTGAATAGTAACAGCTTAATTAAATGTTCAATAATGTTTTTTTAATAAAAGACAACTAATAATGTTTTCATTTCTTTTTTATTATTCCGAATCTGTCTTCAATTCAATCTGTCTTCGGCCATCATCTAAAACGAAAAGAGATAAGTTATTACTATTTCTACATAAATTCTTAAGAGTCCCAACTGTCGTTTATATTGAGTCTTCTGTCTTCGGCCATCATCTAAAACGAAAAAAGATAAGTTATTGATATTTCTACATAAATTCTTAGGAGTCCCAATTGTCGTTTATATTGAGTCCCAAACGTCGTGAACCGAGTCCCAAACGTCGTGAACCGAGTCCCAAATGTCGTTTATGTTGAGTCCCAAATGACGTGATACCGTTGAAACAGTTCAGCGTTTGGGTAAAGGGAGGTAACTTCAATTATTGATTTTGGAAAGGGCAGTAACTCTAATTAAACCGGAAATCAGTCGTGGGATCACCGGTTGTAATAAATTTGTTGTTGACTTGTCAATTGAGAAATGATTCAACGATAATTTTAGAATAAAAGAGTTTGTTTTTTATTCTTCACCCTCGTGGAGAGGGTACACTGTCAACATGGCCACAAGAGGACTCACAGAAGTTTTCATTTTAATGAGAAATAATGCTTTACAAAGTAGACATATTTTTTCAGAGCAGGTAAGATTTTTCAAGAATTTTGCAGATGAGTGAAAATGTCATCAAATATAGAGATCGTCTTTAAGTTGACAATGAATTGAACTATTAAACTGGTCTGAATTGACAGATGGCTTTGGAATAGTTTAGATTTGAAAACATAATTAGTTAGGCCAAATTATTGAATAATGAAATATGTGCCCATTTGACATTTAAGTTATGACAATGTTGAATGATTATGAAACAAGATAATTAAACAATCTTTATTTAAATCTGAAACACTATGTACAAAGGCTGCAGAGACAAGTTTCTTGTGCCAGAGTAGGGTAGGGCACTGGATTGGGGCCTCACAAATATTTACGCCCCGCATAGGCTTTTTATTTTTATGAACCTGAGGAGTCAGGAGAGATGTCCCATCTGCACCCCCCCCCCCTGCACCCCATCCTTTGGGCCTACCTAAGGCTAAGGAATAGAATGTGATTTACACAAATCGAACCAAATCTACCAATCTTTATAATTTCAATTTCTTGATATGGTGTAATGGTCATCATATTGATTTTTAAGATCCATATGTGTCTGGTTCCAAGTAATTGCATGTCTTGCAATTTAAAGAGATTAAAACTTTGACATGACATAAACTACAATGATCAGGAAGATACCACCAGTCGGCTGTTGTCACCAAATGTTTCTTGGAAATGACTAGGCTACTGAAGATAGGCATATGTCATACAGTGTGCTATGAAGTAAATTTTGTCCAGACAGTGCTGCTACAGCCTACTTTTATTTCAAATTCCCACTATCAAGAATCCTTTTACATGCATGCCAATAGGACCTAGATTTTTCATCCCTTCTGAACGACAAGACATTGGCCTTGCCAGGCCCTCTCTCCTGCACCACTGTCAAGGGAGAACCCTGCTGGAAAACCCAGAATAACCTGAGATCTCCTGGTTGGCAATCCAGCACCCTACCCTCTGAGCCATCGCGACTCCTGCAGATACATTTAAATGTTTCAGCAGATCACAAAGTTTACAATATATTTGTTTTTCAGACAGCTGATGATCGCATGGCATTGATGTCAACATCGTTAGATCCTGAACTGGGAATAGCTTCCACCAGATCATCTACACTACCTCCTGACTGGTAAGATTAGACTATAGTTGATGATTGTATCACAGGATCTGAGTTGGCCATTCCAGTCATGACCACTTGTATAAAAAGTTGACCGATGTCCAAAATGTCAATCAGTCAATTTATATGCATCATAAAACTTGCATATTGTTTAAAACCCCATTTTCAAATATAAATAAAAACATGGAAAATGAATTTGAATTGCAAAGTTCCTGTGTTTTATCAAAAATGGTCGACAGCCAAAATTTTGAAATGGAAGCCCTGGATTGTCTGAATAATATTTAAGTCGTAAATTACACCTCATGTTGGTACATTACCTATGTTGTCATCTTTGACTGAGTTTGGAGTTGTTGAACAGCCAGAAATTTGCCAGTTAAGCCAAAAGTATTTAATCTTTAGTTCTTTGAGGTTTTAATTAGATAGCCTTTGAATTTCCTGATCAATGTTTTGTTTAAGATATCAAATCTTAAAACTTTGAACTAAAAGCCTTTGAGAATAACAACCAAGTATTTTGTTTAAAATAATTTTTCCCCAAGAAATTATATGAAACAAAATTTTATTTGATAGTGTTCCCCAAGAACAGAGAAAAGAGAGAAAAATGGGGTTTAATGTCCACTTGACACAAACTGGGTCATTTTGGGAATAACATGATTCAATAATTTGATTGCGCATAGGAGTCTTTAGCAGTGACAAGGAGTAGGGTCGCCTGTCCAACCTTGTGGTTTTTCTCTGGGTCCTCTGGTTTCCTCCAACTGGTAAAGACTCCTACGAACAAGTGAATTGTTAAAATAAAATTGAACCATATGTTAGTCCCGAAGTGACCTCTTTGCATAGAGTGGACATTAAACCCTCTCTCTCTCTTTCTCTCTCTCTCTTTCTCTCTCTCTTTATGGACAATCAGTCATTTATATAAGTGGGTTTCTTTGGAATTACAATGTATCACACTTTCCGTATAATGCCTTTTTTTTTCCATTTTTAATTTGAATAGGGTTGATGGTGTTGAAGAAATCCAGTTTGAAGCATCAAGAATCAAGAGAAAAAGTAAAATATTTATTCATTCTTGAAAAAGTTTACGTAATTGTTTTTTTTTTTTAGTTTCAAAATTGGTGTCGGGAGCCACGGTGGCTAAGTGGGTAAGACAGTGGCTTGCTAGCCTGGAGGTCGCATGTTCAATCCCGGCATTGACAGAAATTTCACCGGGATTTTCCGACATGGTTTCCCCTTGTCAGTCGGAATTTGATATAAGAGTAGGCTGTAGTGCTGCTGCCCGGGCAAAATTCCCTCATAGCACACTGTATGCCATATGCCTGTCTTCATTAGCCCAGTCGGAGCAGAACAGTTAGATGTTAAACCCCATTTCATTTCAATTTTTTAGTTTCAAAATTGGTTTCAAGGGAGTCCTTATAGTGTGGACTTAAAATAACAGATGTATCTGTAATGTACGCAAATTCGTATGTTTATCTTATATATCAAAGGGTGGAATAATGTGTGCTTTTTAGATCATAAGGTCAGTCATTGAGTCAAGTGGCATGGGTTTGATTCCCCACTTGTACGTGCCAACCTTATTGGTTTTATCTGGGTCCTCTAGTTTCCTTCAGTCCTGAAATGCCCTAGTTTGTGTCGAGTGGATGTTAAACCCCTTTTTCTTCTTCTTCTTCAACCCAGGAGGTTGAGAAGCACCCCTATCTCCAAGCCACATATGCTCAAATCCTGACTACAAGCCAGAAGTGCCCAGCCAGTTAGAGCTTGGAGCACGACACTCTAGACCACTAGGCCATCGCAAATCCCCTGTTAAACCCCATTGTCGATTTAACATTTTATCGATCCATATGCTGCTTGCTATGTAATAAGCCCGCCATCATTATTTTGTTTGCGAATAATTGTTGACGGGCCTATTTTAAATCTGATCCAATCCAAGTCGGGAAATTGTCTTATGTTTGTTTTCTTAATTGAATAATGAATCTGAGTACAAATTAGCTTGGATTAACCATACATTATGTAAGAGCTACTTCTGCCTATTGCAGGTCTTTCTTTAGACCTGAAATGTTATATAAATTATTAATTAGACATTAATTAACTTATCCAGACCAAAATCAACTTGCGATGTCATCGCTAGCCTGTGATATTTACTGGATTATGATCCAATGTGCTGCTCAACGTCTATTGATGATTAACCGTAAGAATGGATAATCAAGACTTTGTTAATTATCTTGACAGCGGTAACAATGACAATCGAGGCTATAGAGTTTTTAACATAAGGTTATCTCAGCTTAGAGTGACGCAATTTTCAGCATATTCCCTTTACATTATCTAGGTTTTATACACCCACATTTTCATGTGGACGTATATTGTCGGAGCCCCGTCCGTCTGTCCACAATTGTTTGTGAACAGTCTACAGGTCACAATTTTTATCCGATTTCAACGAAACTTGAAATATAGGTTTATCACCCTAAGATCTCGGTTCGATATTGGCATGTATCGGAATGTAACTTCATGGATTATGGCCCCTGATTGTACGAAAAATCACGTTTTTAGCTTGTGAACACTGTAGTGGTCACAATTTTTATCCAATTTGGTTTAAACTTGAAATGTATGCTTATAACCCAAAGATCTCGGTTCCTTTCGATATTCGCGCATATCGTACCGTAACTTCATGAATTATGGCCCCTGATTGTACGAAAAATCACGTTTTTAGCTTGTAGACCCTATAGAGGTCATAATTTTTATCCGATTTAAAAAAACGTATTATTATATCACCGTTACACCCTAAGGACGGCTGAGTTCGAATTTCGAGCAAATCGGCCCAAAACTGACAGACAAAATGGCCGCCGTTCGTTCTCAAATAGCGTAAAAATATGGTATATCAAGGTTGTGGACCCTATAGAGGTCACAATTTTTATCCGATTTTGTTGAAACTTGGAAAGTAAGTTTATAACCCAAAGATCTCGGTTCCTTTCGATATTTGCGTATATCGAATTGTAATTTCCTGAATTATGGCCCTTGATTGTAGGAAAAATCACTTTCTTTTTAGCTTGTTCTCTATCCATCTCTCGAAAATGTGGGCGTATCCTGCCTGGCAGCCGCTGGTTAACTATTATAGTGAGAACTGCCAAATTTATATCTTATCTGTAACTATAAAATTGCGGAATAAACTTGTAAATGAAACTGTTATTTATTGTATTTGATTAATTGAATGTTTTGTATTTGACAGTGAAGGAGTTATCTTCCCTACATGATAAACATTTAAATCGACCCACATTAGATGATAATGTTGATGAAGAACACGCTATAGAAATCCAGACACAAGAAATAACACAGGTAGTAGAAAACTGATTGTATGTTTTTTAAAAAGAAAACAATTTTAATTGCTGCTTATGTGGCTCAGTGAGTAGGATTTTGGCTCGCTAACCTGGGGGTTTGATTTCCGGCGTGGTTCCCCCTTGTCAGTAGTGTAGGACAGAGGTACAACATATAGTCGTCTGGCTGGGATGGGGTTGGACAGGCGACCATATTTCTTGTCAAAACTATGCCACTTGACTTAATGACAGACTTTTTGATCCATTCGGCCACACAACCCCCCAGACTGGAATATAGGACAAAAATAACTTATCAATTGACAAAGAGGATTGATCAGGTTTGCGAATCGTTCATCATAGATTTATATGTTGTTGTTGTTGTAGATGTTTACGAGATGCCAAAGATTAGTTCATCAGATTAGTAATAAAAGTCAACAGGGTACGGCACAAGAAAGAAAGTTATCAATAAATATTGTTTCATCTCTAGCCAGGATGATTCAAGAAATGTCATCCAATTTCAGAAAATCTCAATCAACATATCTTAAAAGTAAGTTAACATTTGTGTTCAAAAAAGTCATTTGGGAGCCATGGTGGCTAAGTGGGTAACACGCTGGCTCGCTAACCTGGAGGTTGTGGGTTCGGTCCCGGTGTTGGCCGAGAAAGTTCATCAGGATTTTTGGCTTGATTTCCCCTTGTTAGTGGTGCATAATGGGATAAAAAACAATGTCCTGCATAAACATTGGCATGCACTGAAATTATACCTTGGCAGTTGGAATTTGCTATAAGAATAGGCCTTAGAGCCGCTATACTTTTCTCTAAAATTATATCGTATTTTGTAAATACGCACTTAGTAAATTCATAGATATGCAATTAGTGAATTCATAGATATGCAATTAGTGAATTTATAACTATGCAATTAGGTAATTTATAACTGCACAATTAGTCAATTTATAACTGCACAATTAGTCAATTTATAACTATGCAATTAGTCAATTTATAACAATACAATTAGTGAATTTATAAATACACAATTAGGGAATTTATAACCATGCAATGGTTCGACTTTGGGTCTTCATTGATCTTCTTTGTCAATTCACCTTTTTAAGTCAACAATATTTTTATGTTTGTAAAAGTTTTTTCTATTTTCAGAATTAAAGAATAGAGAAGAACGATCTTTACAGTATTTTGGTCCGAATATGGGTGCTGATTCGGCTTTAATGGAAGATTTAATGGGTGGAGATGATGTTGTTTATGATAGGGTGAGAACAACTTTATGATAGTAATAAAAATGGAGAGAGAGACAGAGAGAGAGAGAGAGAGCGAGATAGACAGAGAGAGAGAGACAGACAGACAGAGAGAGAGCGAGATAGACACAGAGAGAGAGAGAGACAGAGAGAGCGAGATAGACAGAGAGAGAGAGCGAGATAGACAGAGAGAGCAAGATAGACAGAGAGAGAGAGCGAGATAGACAGAGAGAGAGAGCGAGATAGACAGAGAGAGAGAGAGATAGACAGAGAGAGAGAGCGAGATAGACAGAGAGAGAGAGCGAGATAGACAGAGAGAGAGAGATAGACAGAGAGAGAGAGCGAGATAGACAGGGAGAGAGAGAGAGAGAGCGAGATAGACAGAGAGAGAGAGAGATAGACAGAGAGAGAGAGCGAGATAGACAGAGAGAGAGAGCGAGATAGACAGAGAGAGAGAGCGAGATAGACAGAGAGAGAGAGAGCGAGATAGACAGGGAGAGAGAGAGAGAGATAGACAGAGAGAGAGAGAGATAGACAGAGAGAGAGAGCGAGATAGACAGAGAGAGAGAGCGAGATAGACAGAGAGAGAGAGCGAGATAGACAGGGAGAGAGAGAGAGAGAGAGAGAGAGAGAGGTCATTTCGGGACCAACATGCGTAGGGGTCTGTCTTTAGCAGTGGGAGGAAACCGGAGAACCCGGAGGAAACCCACTGGGGAATTGAAACCATGCGAGTTGACTCAATGACAGACCTTAGGCCCCCCAAAAAAGGGTTCTGTTGCCTGTAATGTATGGAAAATAGGGTAGGGTCTGTAGGTAGGGTTGTTTTGTTTTTTTCTTTTATTTTTTTGTTATGTTACATTGTTAGATCTAGTAGATCTACTGTAGCATAATATTCTGTGCAAACATGAAGCACGAATATATTATGATTTAAATATTCTCCTAAGGGTCAAATGGACTTTTTAATTGTTCTATGCTAAAAAAAAAATAGTGTAGAGGGGACATTTTGTTCAAGGGAAAGAACTCACGATGAAAATCATATCATGCCGTTGCACGAAATAGGTCCGTAAGAAATTTATTAATTTGTCTTGTTTGTTTTAAATACCAATCGAGCAGATCCTATCTACCTGTTTGAAATATACGTTCACTTGTTTTTGTCCAATTGCGTGCTGTTACTTATTAGAACGAAAGTTGTGAGGATTATACCTTTTCGGAATGTGCAGTGGTAAATCTATACGAAACCTGTAGCCTCGATTTTCACGTCAGTTAGCAATCTCGCGTCAACAGTATGGCAGTTCTTAATAATTCTTCACTGTACAGTACCTGACTATTCTGATCGGTAAATGCAGATTCAGAGAACGATGACATTTATATTCATTTATAGCAACAAATAATATAGGCATATTCACGAATCCGGTAGGCTTAGAGTAGTCTGAACGGTCGCTCGTTGAACAAAAAAGTTTTTTTATTTCTCTTTGACACAAAAAAAATTTAATAGTCGGTCGGGTTACCGGAAACAGAACATTTTTTGGGGGCCTTATGATACAACACGCACATTAACCATTCGGCCATCCAACCCCTTAAACAGTACATGAATATATACTATTCAAAAAAAGTAGGGGATATTTGATTTTGGGGGCATAATACTAAAATATGCAAATGACTACGAAAAAAGTCACTATAGAACCTAACAGAAGAAACATTTCCAGTTACATGTGACGCCCAAACGCACCAATAGCTACCGCATGGAATGCATGTGATGCTTGGGATCATCATGGGGGTCCAACCCAAGATTTGCACGACTCTGACTTTGAATGTTACAGTCATTGTGGCATTGAATTCCAGGGTGGAAACATCAGTTTAATTGTTTTAGTGACCAGAAAAAAAATTTTGATATGCGTCGGCTTACCCAAAATGAAAGGTTACGTGCCCTTGGCATGCTACAGATCGGCACAACACAGGCGGTTGTGGCGCGGACGATGAATTTTTCTCAGTTTGTCATAAGCAGGCTATGGTCCAGATACCGTGATACACAATCTGTACAGGACAGACCACGCTCAGGTCGACCAAGGGCGACAACTCAAGCCCAGGATCGATTTATCCGTACCTTGGCCTTGAGAAATCGTGTCATCACAGCAAATCAGATCAGCGCTCGTCTTCAAACAGACACTGGTGTGAGAGTGAGTGGCCAGACGATTAGGAATCGACTGCATAGGGGTCACCTTCGCGCCCGACGTCCTCGCGTGATCCCTTGTTTGAGAGATCATCACATTCAGGCAAGACGTCGTTGGTGTAGGGATCGTCAACACTGGGATAATCGACGATGGAGCAATGCGATGTTTTCAGATGAGTCAAGGTTCACTGTTGATTTTTTGGACAGACGTAGGAGGGTGTGGCGTCGTCGAAACGAGCGCTTCCAAGACGTTAACGTCATCAGACATGATCGATTTGGGGGTGGTTCTGTTATGGTGTGGGGAGGCATCACTGTTGCTGGAAGAACGGCTTTACATGTTGTTGCAGGGCGTGTTACAGGCCAGTACTACCGGGACAACATCTTGGCAGTCCATGTTGTGCCGTTCGCACGACGTCATGGCCGCCGTTTCATCTTCCAGGATGACAACGCAAGATGTCACAGGGCCAGGATCGTTACAGGTTACCTCCAACAACAGAACATCACCACATTACCTTGGCCAGCACTGAGTCCCGACCTCTCCCCCATCGAGCATGTCTAGGACATGCTTGGACAGAGGTTACGTCAACGTCAACAACGTCCTGCCAATGTCCAAGAACTTGCTGCTGCGTTGCAACAGGAATGGGACAATCTGGACCAAAATGACCTTAGACGTCTCATTAGGAGTATGCCACGTCGGATCAATGCTTGTTTGGCAAACAGAGGAGGATTTACCTGTTACTGACTTGGTTGTGATGCTGTGGTAACTTTGCTGTTTGACCCCGGGTATCATTTTACTCTTATAATGGCCAGTCTGTGCCTTACTTAGTCTAACGATCATTTGGAATAAATCGATGAATGTGAACTTCATTTCATTTTGTCATTTGTTTCTTCGTCAGTTTCATTAGGTGACTTTAATAACACTTAAAAATCAAATATCCCCTACTTTTTTTGAATAGTATACTTCAGACAGTCCAAAAAGTAAAATTGGGTGCAGAAAACATTTTATTAGGATAACAACACCAAATTATCAAAGGTATAGATTCCATAGGATTAAGGGAGCCACAGTGGCTAAGTGGGTAAGGATCTGGCTCGCTAGTCTGGAGGTCACGGGTTCAATCAGGATTTTCTGTCGTGGTTCCCTCTTGTCAGTTGTGCAGGACGGAGGGCCTAACAAGAACAGCAGTCCTGTGTACATATGGGCAAGCACTTAAAAGATCCCCCGACAGTTGGAATTCGATATATAAGAATAGGCTGTGGTGTCACTGTCTGGGCAAAATTTCCCTCATAGCACGTCTTCATTTGCCCAGTCGGTGCAGAACAGTAGGAAATTAAACTCTTGTTTCATTTCATTTTCAATTGCATATATTCTTTGTATTGAACATTATCTTACTCTGTCAGACAGGTAGGATCGAGATCTTTCTGTGACTCGTTTAGACACTATAGTGATGAACATTTTTCGTTTCGATGAATCCTAAAACCTTTATATTATTTTGTTTTATAACAGGGTTTTAGTTCTAAACAGATGCAACTAGTAGAAGAAAATACAGTCCAAGTACAACATAGAGAGAAAGAAATATTACAAATAACACGATCAATACAAGATTTAAACGAAATATTTAAAGATTTATCAACTATGATAGTAGATCAGGTAGTCACACATTTTATTTTAACATTAAACCCCCCCCCATAGGTTTTCATGGGAGATCAATCACTGGTTAAATGGGAGATCCATCAATGGTTTTATTGGAGATCAGTCACTGGTTTTATTGGAGATCAATCACAGGTTTTATGAGGGATCAATCACTGGTTTTATTGGAGATCAGTCACAGGTTTTATGGGAGATCAGTCACTGGTTTTATGGGAGATCAGTCACAGGTTTTATGAGGGATCAATCACTGGTTTTATTGGAGATCAATCACAGGTTTTATGTGAGATCAGTCACTGGTTTTATGGGAGATCAGTCACAGGTTTTATGAGGGATCAATCACTGGTTTTATTGGAGATCAGTCACAGGTTTTATGTGAGATCAGTCACTGGTTTTATGGGAGATCAGTCACAGGTTTTATGAGGGATCAATCACTGGTTTTATTGGAGATCAGTCACAGGTTTTATGTGAGATCAGTCACTGGTTTTATGGGAGATCAGTCACAGGTTTTATGAGGGATCAATCACTGGTTTTATTGGAGATCAGTCACAGGTTTTATGGGAGATCAGTCACTGGTTTTATGGGAGATCAGTCACAGGTTTTATGAGGGATCAATCACTAGTTTTATGCGTGATAACTGTAAGGGGATACTTGTCGAAATGTTGGGACCTTAAGTTTACTAAATGTCATTATGCTTGATTACGATAATAGGATACTTGTCGAAACGTTGTGCTTTTGTAATAAAACCTGTGATTGTTTCCTATAAAAATTGTTTTCTGTTTATGTGTATCTCATTCACTAAATGACAATTAAAGATTTGGTTTTTATACTATTTTTTCTGAAGAAAAAAGCAGAAAATATTTAACATGTGTTCCGGAAGATCAGAAAATCAAGTTGGTGTGGTGACCTTACATGTGAATTTTGGATAATGTTGTGTATTATTTGTTTTAGGGCTCTATATTAAATAGGACAGATTATAATGTTGTATATTATTTGTTTTAGGGCTCTATATTAGATAGACAAATTATAATATTGTATATTATTTGTTTCAAGGTTCTATGTTAGATAGGACAGATTATAATATTGTATATTATTTATTTCAGGGCTCTATATTAGATAGGACAGATTATAATATTGTATATTATTTGTTTCGGGGCTCTATATTAGATAGGACAGTTTATAATATTGTACATTATTTGTTTCAGGTCTCTATATTAGATAGGACAAATTATAATGTTGTATATTATTTGTTTCAGGGCTCTATATTAGATAGGACAAATTATAATATTGTATATTATTTGTTTCAGGGTTCTAGATTATGATATTGTATATCATTTGTTTCAGGGCTCTATATTAGATAGGACAAATTATAATATTGTATATTATTTGTTTCAGGGTTCTAGATTATGATATTGTATATCATTTGTTTCAGGGCTCTATATTAGATAGGACAAATTATAATATTGTATATTATTTGTTTCAGGGCTCTATATTAGATAGGACAGATTATAATGATGTATATTATTTGTTTCAGGGTTCTATATTAGATAGGACAGATTATAATGATGTATATTATTTGTTTCAGGGCTCTATATTAGATAGGACAGATTATAATGATGTATATTATTTGTTTCAGGGTTCTATATTAGATAGGACAGATTATAATGATGTATATTATTTGTTTCAGGACTCTATATTAGATAGGACAGATTATAATATTGTATATTATTTGTTTCAGGGCTCTATATTAGATAGGACAGATTATGATATTGTATATTATTTGTTTCAGGGCTCTATATTAGATAGGATAGTTTATAATATTGTATATTATTTGTTTCAGGGTTCTATATTAGATAGGACAGTTTATAATATTGTATATTATTTGTTTCAGGGCTCTATATTAGATAGGACAGTTTATAATATTGTATATTATTTGTTTCAGGGTTCTATATTAGATAGGACAGTTTATAATATTGTATATTATTTGTTTCAGGGCTCTATATTAGATAGGATAGATTATAATATAGAACATGCTAGTATCGGAGTAGAAAAAGGTTTACAGCAATTACAAAAAGCCGAAAAATATCAGAAAAAGAATAGAAAGATGTACATAGTTATGGTTTTAGCCGTTATTATTATACTGTTAATTATTATACTTATAGCAACAAAGAGCTAGCATATATTAAACACATTTATTTATTTCAACTCATTTGTTTTTAAACTTAATATTTATGTTTTATAATACTGTTGATACAGTGGGGTGGGGAGGGGGTGGGGTAGACGGGTTGGGGGGGTGCATCCAGTAAAATAGAGGATCCACAATGAAATGGGAGCCATGGTGACTCAGTGAGTGAGATGCTTGCTCGCTAATCAAGTGGTTCTGGGATCGCTATTGGAGTTGGTCGATTCAGTTCCTTGAGATTTTCCGACATGGTTTACCCTTGTCAGTGGTGCATAATGGAAGGCCTGGCAATGACAGAGTCCAGTTGTTCGGATGGGACAAAAAAATCGATGTCTGGACATTGGTATACCTCTTGACAGTTGGAATTCAAAATAAGTGTCAGTCATAGCATTGCTGTTCGGGCAAAATTTCCCTCATAGCACACTGCATGGTGTAAGCATGTCTTTATTAGTCCTGTATAGGACTACACTGAAGAAAAAATTGTGGGTTGGTGGGTTGGTTGAGGTGAGGGTATGTGCATCCACTCTAACTCTGAATGCTGACGATTTCTGGGAATCAAGGGCATACTTTTTAAAACATAAATAACTAAACCAATTGAAGAGTCCAGGGGAAGAACGATGTAAGTCACATTTTTGTCTTTTCGCATAAAAGGCAAAGCAGACTTTTGGACGAGAATACTTGACCCGAACAGAACAATGAGTGGGTTGAATTACAACTTCAAAGTGATATTAATACGAATCATAATTACCATTACAACAACTGACTTCCACTTTTTAGCCAAATTAAGGTCAAATAAATACGATGGACTTGTATTTGTCCGAGAGACCATTTCAGAAGGGTCTTGGTTCGATGCGACTCCGATCGTTTTACCTGAAATTGATTGTTGCACAGAAAGCTTATACAATTTGCTACCAGATAGAACCATTAACTGGTGTTCGTTGAAATAGTGACTTAGATTGTTCTTCACCGGGGCTCTTCAATTGCAAGTGAACAAATATTTGATATTTGAATAGTTTATTTATTTATTAACAGATATCTGTGTATTCTAGTATACATCAGAAATGGGTAGACTTTATTTATAGTTTTCACAATACCTAAATATATCTGTAAATAATGTACAAGATCCGGAATCCACTGACAACAGTTGGGCCTGTGTCCTTGTAAAATCATATATTAAAACACAGATCCTATTTCGTTTTGTTTTTTATAGTTCAAAATGTCGTTTTATTTGTCTATACTACACCAGGATCTTGAAGAATTGTTATATATTCTACGTTCTGGATGATGTGAGAGATTAGCCAATGAAACGGTCTGTTACGGTGACTTCTTGCTGTGCGATACACGGAACTGTGAGTAAACCACTAGAAATGTCAACGTTGATTGATTAATCAATGTCTGACATCATACCGTTAAAAGCCGTTCGTACGACCTCTGACGCAACCTTTTACTACAACCGGTCAGATCTTCATATAGTGTAGGTCATCGAAAGTATTAAAAAAACGAAAAGAAATATAGATCTGTATTTTAATTAGATTGATATTACAGGTTATTATTATGGGTATTTAAAAAAAAGATGTGACGTCAAGATGTTGACGTATCATTATTTCCAGTAATGTACGGGCAACTTGCCAATCTTACATTATCTATATTAGATGAAATATTGGACTCGCATCACGCATTTCATTGAAAAACATGTGCGGGATAGTGTCTGTATTTTAAGTTGTTTAATGGTCTCCAGCTAAAGACATTGCGTAATATATTGAAAGAACACTCGGCTAACGCCTCGTACAGTATCAATATATTACTTAATGTCTCGCTCTCGACCATTTAACCATACTTAATATATACTATAGAATACTTCAAGAGATAAGTTTACTATATACTCTAAACCTATTAAAGCGATAATTGCATTTATTTTATGATCAGTAGTGGAATACTGCATTTTATCAGTGAAATAAAAGTGTTATTCCACTGGCTAGTTGTTTTTACCTAAAATGATTGTAAAATCATAAAATAAATAGAACATTTGTCGTTTTGTCGTAAATAACATATTTTATTTCATCTCTAAGCAAGAAAACATTTATATTTTCACTCATGCTACGCATTCGTGAAAATATAAGTTTTCTTGCTTCTCGATGAAATAAAATATGTTATTCACTCTAAAACGACAAATATCCTCTATATATTCTCAGAAAGTCGAAACATAATTATTTCTATGTTTACTGCTTAGTAGTTTGTCAAATCACTAATATATGATCATAGAAATCATTCTACTAATTTAGCACTTTAAAAAATAATAACTCCGGAAATAATAGCAAAATTACCTCCCTTGTTTTCTATATGCTCTCTGTGGAATTGGCAAAGTTTGATGTTGATGATTCAACTTGAAAATGATACATTTGCCAATTTCTCAACTGACACTAGTGAATTATAGGATTAATAGGATTATTCTTTAACAAGGTAGAACTGTGTATAGATTCCTTGTTTTTTAAGGCTTTATTTTATAAATTAATAGGATTATTCTTTAACAAGGTAGGACTGTGTATAGATTCCATGTGTTTTAAGGCTCTATTTTAACATATCGACACATGACTTAAAAAGTTGTAATTATTGCTTTAAAATCCTTGCCTTGTATAATATAGGAGATTAAGTTATATTGATGTATATTATATTAAATACAAAAAGTTAAAATCCTTGTCTTGTATATTTTTAATGTCTTGTGTCTATTATAATATTATTGCTAAATTTCTGTGTATTATTCCTACTTATGATATTTAATATATTCATCATGTCTTATTGTAATATGTCATTATGTTTCATATATGTGACCTGTGATTGCAAAATGAGTCGGAAATAGCAAATCTTTTACGACACGAACATAAATGTTAAAATAAACTAAAACATTTTTTAAAGGTAAAAGTTTAGATTTGACAAATAAAGCAAACTAAATTCTTATTATATATTTAGCCTATTTTGATGGGGGGGTTGGATGGCCGAATGGTTAGCACGTGCGTGCTGTATCATACGGCCTGTCATTGAGTAAACTGGCGTGGTTTCGAATCCCCGGTTGACGTGACAAGGAGTAGGGTCGCCTGTCCAACTTCGTGGGTTTTCTCCGGGTCCTCCGGTTTCCTCCTACTGCTAAAGACCCCTACGCGCAAACGAATTATTGAAATAAAATTAAACCACATGTTAGTCCCGAAATGACCCAGTTTGTGTCGAGTGGACGTTAAACCCCATTTCTCTCTCTCTCTCCTATTTTGATGTTTTTATTCATATACTATTATTGTAAACAAGAACTTGCGACTCATTTTGCTGTCACAGGTCACACTCACTCATATTATTCAAGTGAACTTGTATACCTGTGCTTCAATGTTGCCTTTCACTTTAAACTTATAAATGTGATAATTCATTCATCAATTGGTTCAAGATCATGGAACATTCAGAACTAATCAGCTTCAGACTTACTATCACTGATAGAAAATGATAAATTTGATTGTATATCTTTAATATTGAATCATGATCGGAAATATACCGGTTATGATTTTGAATGCAAGTGTTCAGATTTTGAGATGGTCCCCAAGGTATTATGATGGTCTGGAATTAAATAGTCTGAAATGATTCCTGATTTATTGGCCTTGGCATTGCATGTTAATTCATTACATTCCAATTCACAAATGTTATTTTGAAAATTTAATTGAAAAGATGAGTGAACAAAGGTGTACATTTAAAAGTCTGTGACAAGGTGTACTTTCTCTTTTTATAACACCTGGTAACACTTTTCATTCATTTGGGAAGTTCATATAGCTAATAATGTATATTGTATTTATTGTTTATAATCTTGTTCCCTCAAATCTTACTACATTAGGGAGCTGCAGTGGCTATGTGGGTAAGACACTGACTTGCTAACCAGGCAGTTTGGAGTTTGCTCCTGGTGTAGGCGGATGAAGGTTCCTCTGGAATTTTTCGGCGTGCTTACCCTTGTCAGAGCTGCAGGTCGGAGGGTCTCACAATTACAGTGTCTAATCGTTCGGATGGGAAGAAAAAATAGGGACTCATGTACACATGAGGTGCACCTAAAAGATCCCTTGGCAGTTGAAATTTCAAATAAGAGTAGGCCGTAGCACCGCTGTCCGGGTGAAATTTTCATCATAGCACACCACATGAAGTATAGCTGTCTTCATTAGCCCAGTTGGCACAGAACAGTAAAATGTTAAACCACTGAGAGGGGGATACCGAACCAAAATATCCAGAGGAACTTTCCTGGCAAATTTCAGTAGGCCCAGTTGGTGTAAAAAATTATGATGTTAAGTCACTGAAAATCCAGAGGAACTTTCTCAGCCAAACACCTAGAGAACCCGTAACCTACTGGTTAGCAAGCCAGCGTCTTACTAAGCCGAAACCTCCTGGTTAGCAAGTCAGCGTCTTACTAACCCGAAACCTCCTGGTTAGCAAGCCAGCGTCTTACTAACCAAAAACCTCCTGGTTAGCAAGTCAGTGTTAGCAAGCCAGTGTCTTACTCACTGAACCACTGTGGCTCCCTGTACAAGGTATAATACTCAGCGCTACTTATTATTATAATATTGTAAATACTGTCTTTAAGAGGTCAGATAAAAAAAAAAGTAGGTAAAATACAAGATTTTGTAACAAAGAAAATATAAAATTTAAATTGTTATTCAGTGGTATTTATCATTCTCTGTTTGGATTCTATTTTCTTATTTTTAATTTTTTTTTTTTTTTAATAGCATTGTTGGATAGTTAGCTGGACAATATCAAACTAATGCAATCTGATTAAAACACAGATCCTATTTCGTTTCGTTTTTTATAGTTCAAAATTTCGTTTTCCTTGTCTTTTACTACACTAGGATCTGGAAAAGTTGTTATATAACCTGCGTTCTGGATGTGAGGGATTAGCCAATGAAACAGTCTGTTACCGCAAGTTTTTGGCATTAGGTGCACGGAACTGTGGGTTACCCACTAGAAACATCAACGCTGATTGG